CCACAAGCGGACAAATGAACAGGCCTTCAATGAATACATACAAAGCCCATGCCTGGACTGCCCCTTTGAAGAGGAGCACAAGGGCCACCCAAGTCACCGTTTGTGGCAAAAAGGACAAAAGATCAGCTGCACAAGCTGTGGTTTGCAACTCCATTTGGACAGCAACCGCCGCATCATCACCTCGGCTAACTTCCTCAAAGAATGTCGAGGGGCAGGCATGCAGGGATCGCCACCGATCCATTCCTTCTTCAAGGCCACGCCACCAACACAGGCTGCAGCTGCGACCACTGGCCCTACACAACAGCAGGCCACACCACCGCCCAGCAGTGGCCCTAGGCCCAAACGCCTGCACTTCACCACCCCTCTGACGCAGAGGGAAGATGGGTACGATTACGCACAGGCCAAGAACCCCAGCCTTGCTGTCGTATCAGACCCGTCTGGCAATGAACTTCCACACTCCCATGATGGCACTCAGGAAGCAGACGCTATGCACTCCAACTCAGAAACTGCTGAAGAAGAAAGTCCGGACGACGATGTGGAAATGCACGTCGACTTCTTCTAGCTGCACTACTGAGCTGCGACACCAGGTGAGGCACCATGCCTAGAGCGCCCGGCCAAACGGCCAGATAAGCACCTTTAGAAGAAAAAAAATACATACATACATACATACATACATACATACATACATATATATATATATTATATATGTGTGTGTTAGTCATATGAGCGATGTGCAACACCTGGTGCGCGTTGTAGTGCGCACTCTTCCCAACGTTATCTTTTTTTCTGTGAACCTTATTGTTTCTGAGGGTTTGGACACACCTCACAATATGTGCTAAAACCTTATCGTTTTCTCTTGTGAACCTTATCGTTCCTGAAGGTTTCCCTCATTTTACTTACTTCATCTTCACTGTAGTGATGCTGCCTTCATCGGAGGTTTGGGCAGTTGCTCATATAATATATTGTATACTACCGACCGGTGACTTAGGACTTGTGTGGGCCAGTGACATAGTAGTTGTGGCCCACTACTCCTAAGTCATTGGGAACACAAAAATTGCAGAGTTGCTGATTCAAGCCTCATGACTTGGGAATTGTCGCCAGCTGATGATCAAGCATTTTATTTATGTTTGTTCAGGGAGGGAGGGGAATTGATGCACACAGAACAAATGACATAAGAATCGGCCTGCTCATCATGTTTCATCATGCCTCCTGTTACTTACAACTCCTACTCACTTCATTTATTCATCCTTTCCGGCAGCTTTATGTTTTTTAAAGCTATTCTTGTGTGACCATGTTTTGATGTGTTTCTCTACTTTAAAGTCCATGACATAGGAGTTGTGTACATTGCTCAAAAATGCTTTAAGACCTATGACAAAGGAGTTGTAAAACCAACAAAAGGTTTAACTACTCCTTTGTCACTAGTCGAGAGTATATATTTGTGTATATTCATTCGATATGTCAAAATCCTTGCCGCAAAAACATCTAAGAACCATCTCTAAACAACGATCAGAAAGTTGAGTTGTGGCGGAAGAACTCGTTGTCGAAACCCGACCTGCTGTTGGGAGGGTGTTTTCCTGCAAAAAGGCCATCCAAACACATCCTTCCTCCATCTCTTCATCAACCTGAAGTTGAAGAAACCTATTGACCACAGCGAGTTCCACCGCCATGTCCCTATTCTCCATGTCTTCCTCTCTTGGGCGCTATTCTCCACTCCTCCGCAGTACCGGTCCCACCTGGGATCTCCAAGAGGTCCAGGAGCAGCTCAGGCAGAGGGGTGGAGATGGGACACGCAAAGCCCAGACCCGCCAAGGAGCTCCGCAAGCCCGAGATGGCGCCGTAGTACGCCAGGCGTCCCGCCTGGCGATGCCAGGCGAACATGGGGAACTGCCAAGAGGGTGGCCGGTTGCGGCCGTTGCGGGTATAGACCCCAACTGTAATACTCTTCCAGATGTGCTTTCTACCCGAATATCCTCGAACTACTGCTGGTTCAGGAACTTTCTTTGTTCATCTTTTAGGACATCTAGCCTCCAGAAGAAGAACTTTGCTGAAGCGATTGAACACGGCTTCTGACGGTTGATGGATTGTGGCAATGACCGTGCATCCTTGCTCAGCGATCTGCTTCACATCCCTCATCAATGAGTCAGACATCTTGGAGTCGAGGCCGCCTGAGACGAGTTAGAAGTACACTCCAAAAACTGAGTGTTCCTCGAGTGGGTAGAAATCTTGGAGACTTTCCCATGTGTCTTAGTGCCACCGGACAGACGTACAATTCCATGTGGCATGCGATTTCCGTATGCCCAACGCTGCACATCACGGGTATGCCGCGCCCATAGGTTTCCGGCTGCAGATTTAAACTGAAACAATCGGGCAGAATCTTTCGGGAGGATGCTTCCTCCAGGAACGCAAGAGAAAAAGGAATGGAGAACGAAGGAAAGATGGTGTGAGGCCACCTTAAAGGTCAAGTCAGATCTTGCGACCTAAGAAGTCGGAGGGAAACTTGCAGATTTTGTGGGAAGGGCGCAGAAGGGCGAAAAGCTGCGCGCAATTCCTTGCACCAAGAACACAAGATCCGGAAGGCAAGGGAGCCACAAGACCCTCAGAAGCCGCCCCAAAGCCACAAAGAAATGCCCAAGTTGCCAAGAGTAATTCCCTCAGAATTCAGAGAATATCCCTAGAAGGAACCTCCGAATTTTGTCTTCGGCGTCCAAGGCACTGGTAGGCTCGTCCATCAGCAGCAAGGAGGGATTCCCCAACAAGGACAACCCCACGTTTGTGCGCTTCCGCTCGCCGCCGCTGATGCCGCGCACCAGCCCAGGAGAGCCCACCACAGTGTCTGCACACTTGATCAGGTTCAGCTTCTCCAAGACACCTGCTGGCGCCCCCCACCCCAGGATACCCCAGGCCTCAGACGCCGATCAGCAGTATTTAGCAGCAGCAGCAGTAGTAGTGGCAGCAGGAGGAGTAGTAGTTGTAGTAGTGGTAATAGTCGTCGTCGTCGTCAACGTCGTCGTGGCGGTGGCGGTGGCGGTGGCGGTGGTGGTGGTGGTGGTCATTGTAGTTGTAGTAGTTGGTCGTAGTAGCTGTTGTGGCCGCAGTGGTAGTGGCAGTGGTAGTGGTAGTGGCAGTGGAAGTGGAAGTGGAAGTGGAATTGGAAGAAGAAGAAGAGAAGAAGAAGTAGTAGTCGTCGTCGTCGTTGTAGTTGCAGGGGGAGTAGTAGTAGTAGTAGTAGTAGTAGTAGTAGTAGTAGTTATTGTTGTTGTAGGGGCTTATGGCTTATGGAAAAGGTCTGAACAAAGACTTTGTGAGTGCAAAGGGGCAGCTCTGTCTGACGTCAGACGCGACAAAACTGCTGAAACACAGCACGAGTGTGGAAAACCACTGGCCATCCCAACACCTTTCAAACTCCAAGCAACGTGCCTAGACTCAAGACGATTGAGGGCAACATCCACTGATCTGATAATCTTACCATGTTCTCTTTCCCAATGGCGTCAAAGGGCTCCAAGCATCAAGACACCAACCGCAAGACAGAAACAGTCCACGGTCTACACTCCGCGTGGATCAACGTAAGCACAACAAGTGGCAACTACTCCGGCCTTGCACCAGCTCGCTGCGAGCCTCCGTGGAGAGTTTGGGCCAAATGAACGCCGCAGCGAAGCCCAGATTTTCCCGACAGGTCAAGGTCTCGTACATGATGTCCTCACGGTGTGCAGGGCGCGAGAGTTCGTTGGTTGGATAATGGATGGAATTGGATGGATAGTTCTTTGAAGAATGTTAGTGACAGGCCCGTTGTAACGTTGTAATGGTAAAGCCTGCACTGCTTCTCGGATGTTCAACCTCCCCAACTTCCCCGAACTGCGCGTCTTATTCTGTGGGATGTTAAACAAACCTCCTCACTGGTAAGACCCCATTCGTCCTCCTGAGTGACATAGCCCAAACTGCTCCTCACCTGCAGCACAGGCAAGAAACACCACTTAACCACATTGGTCTGCCCATCTGAGCAGTGAAAGTAATCGCAACGTCGTCGGCTTGCAAAAGCAACATGCACATCCTAGCCCCAGGTTGACCATGTTTGCTGCGTCTGTTCCCATCCTTGTCGCCGCAATCTCACCACACAAGTCTCCCAACACCCCTGAGGCCCTGGCCTGTTGAAAGGCTTTGCCGCCATAGCTAATCCTCCCACCAGAATCCCCACTCCGGCCAGCCAAGGCATTCAGCAAGGTGGTCTTTCCGGCGCCTGAGGGGCCCATCAAGGCCACCAAGTCTCCACTGGACACGGCACAGCTGATGTGCTGCAGCAAACGCTTTCCGAAGCTGGTGGTGATGGACAAATCATCCACAACCACCTGGGGAGAAGCAAAGCATGGACGGCTGGGGGTCCCAAATGTCTGATGATTGGCTCGGGAGGCCTATCCGTTCAATGTGTTTGTTGCGCTTCGCTTTGGGCTCAAACGCTGCACCCCCTCTGCAATATTCTATTTGGACGATGCGAGGGCCTCCATGCCGCACTGCCAAGCTTCTTTGGCCATGCCGACGGCCGGTGTTAAAAAGGCTCTTGATTGAAGCAACGGACATTACACATATTGAAACAAAAGCAATACAGTATATTATGTGTTTATGTATGTACTGAATAAGTATTCTAAAAACATACCTTCAACTGGCCAGTTGCAACCCATGTGGGAGGACAGTAGGCCTAGATAGAGGGTATGGGGACTTCAAGGTGCAAACTAGGCCAGGCCATTGTCAACTTGTCACAGTGCTACCCTACGATACCAGGCAGGGTGTTGATGTAAGCATCCACAGAAAATGGCACACCTTGATCACATCCAACCTTCTCAAAATTTGGATGAAAGACGCACTCTGAGTCCAAATAAAAGGGAATTCTGCGGCCAGCCCTGCCAGAGAGCCCTCCACAAAACCTGCCAGTCGGTGGCCACGAGTCTCCCACATCCGTTTCCGGGAAAAGACCGGGCGGGACGTCGCTCACAGACCAGGCTCCCGGCTCCCTTGCAATTGTCAAGCCGAGGCCTCAGCTCAACATGTGCGCTCCAACGAACGGTCCAAAAAGCCCGGCAACCCGTTGAATGCAAAGCTGACTAGCAGTTCCACACCACGATCAGCGTTGGCTCACCCGGAGAAAAGAAGTGCCTGTATGCGCTAGTTTAGCCAAGAGCCTGAAAATCTGCACCATGGTGAATGTGTAGATTCAACATGAATCATGTTGAGCCATGACACCTTGCAGATTCACAGGTCAAGTTCTTGCGAATCCACCTGTCTGCACCTGTTCACCACCTGGGGCTCTCAGATCCGCACACCTCCTCTTCATCTGACAATTTCCCCTCCTGGAGCCAGAGATGAGCCAGCGCCAGGACTGTCTCTTCGTCATGTTTCCATATCTGCACACCCGTCGCTGGCATCCCACAAGGCCAAAAACTGCCACTCCCCCGACTCACCCAGAGGCCGACTGGCCACCGGTCCTTACGGCGGTTCACCGCCGCCTCATGCAAATGGTTGTTGTTCGTAAACCTGCATGGAGCCACCGACCGCCCTGACCAGAAAGGGGAGAGCCACGGAACATTCAGTCGGGATGATCTTGGTTCTGCTTCGGACTCCACGGAGAGGCAAGTCTGGAAAGGCCCCTCCCTTCCTCCCTTTCTCTTTCTCTTTCTCTTTCTCTTTCTCTTTCTCTTTCTCTTTC